GGATATTATTGTTGGTAGTAGCTGATTTGGCTGCTGAATCGGCTTCTTCGTTACCAAGAACTCCGACGTGACCTTTATCCAATAAATGTTTGATTATATTTGAGGATATTGGATAATTTTGTTAAAAATATCTTGAATTATTTCAGATGTGTGTTTGAGATTTTGTAGAGCTAGTATTGCTGATTGACTATCTGAGAAAATATTGATTTTTTGTAAATTGTTATCGATTGAGTATTCTTTTGCCATCCGAATTGCGTGTAATTCTGCTTGGAAGATACTATTTTCCTTGGAGAGTTATTTTCTGGGTTTGATCAATTTGTATTATACATGCACAGCCAACTCCTAAGTCCATTTTCGATCCATCTGTATATATTATTGGTGGAGATATATGATTGGTTGGAGGTTTTACTGTGCTATATATTTTAGGATTAGAGGCAGGATGTCTTCTGTAGGGATTGACTGAAATTTCAAAATTGTTTGGATTATTTCATCACGTAATATGCAGGATTTTTTTAATTTGAGAACTGTGGCTTTTGCATGTTCAGTTTGTGCTAAAGTATGAAGAGGTGCTATTCCTGAAAGTACACATAGGGCAGCATTTGATGTTGTTTTATAATATTTTGTGATCCGGAGAAGGAATTGACGTTGTATGGCTTGCAGTTGCTTTTGTTTCCGAACAGTCATAGGCTGCGCCCAAATTTCTGCACCATATAAGACTATTTTTGTTATTACTGTATTGAACAATATTTTTTGAATATGAGGATTTAAGTCCCCAATTTAGTTCTTGGACATAACATAAGTTTTTGTGTTTTACTTTTTGTGTTTTAGTTCTGATATATTTGAGATGTTCAATCCAGTTGAGGTTTTTGTCAATGATTATGCCTAGAAATTTAAGTTTTGGAACTATTTTTATTCTATTATTTTCTATTGAAAATTTTGGTAGTCGAGTGATTTTTTGAGATTTTTTATGGAAAATTATAGCTTTTGATTTTTCTTCACTTTATTGTCAGTTTCAATTTGTTGCATTCAGTTTTAAAAAGATGAAGAGTTTCATTTACATTATTTTCCAGAATATTTCTTGTTCTACCACTGATCACAAAAGCTGCGTCGTCAGCAAAAGCAACACTTTTGTGTATGGGTTGGCCATTTGAAAGATGTTATTGAGTTTAAAGTAAGGTTCCAAAGGTCAGCACTGAGGCAGGAACCTCGTGGACAACCTCTTTGTTGGGCATATTCTATTATCTTATTGTTGTATATTATAAAACTTTTTCTTTCACATAGATAATCTTGAAGTAAGTTAAATATATTTTTTGGAAAATTTGCTTTACTTAATGCTTAAACTACAAATGGCCACCATAATGAGCCAAAAGCTTTGGTTAGATCCAGGCAAATAAAAGCAGAATGTAGATTATTGGAGTTATTGATACGAATTTGGTTTAAAGCTGAATCTATGGCATTCGATGTCGATATATTCGGGATAAATCCAAATTGATTATTGCTGATAAATTATATTTTTGTTAGATGATGTCGGAGGCGATTTGCTAGTATTCTTTCTAAGACTTTTCCTATTGCCGGTAATAAGTTTATTGGTTTGTATGATTTTGGAGTATTTGCATCTGCGCTTGGTTTGTTAAACAAAATGACTTGACCAATTTTGAAATGAGTAGAAAATGTTGCAATTTTGAAATGAGTAGCAATTGTAGTCACTTATTGCTGAGATCTAAGAAAAGAGTTCGATCAATAAAATGAATAAGTTGGACTATTTAAGTATTCCATATGGTCCTGGTGCCTTATTTCTTGCTAAATTTTTTATTATATTAGAGATTTTTTTAATGTAAATGGAAAGTCATCCATTGTAGCTGGAGCTGTAATATTATTTCTGATGTACGATTGTTCAGCAGTATCGTCTTGAGAGGAGTCTTGTAGAAAAACTTGTTCCAAGATATTAGAAAGAGTTATTAAAGTTGTGCATCTTGATCTTGATGTTGAGATTGATTGAGGTTTGAAGTGATGGAGATTTGGGTTGGTTTAAAAACTTTGTTCATACAGATCTTGTAAATATTTCCATATCTTTCTGTGTTTTTGGTACAATAATCTCTCCAGCATTTATTTTTAGCTGATAGTATCTTTTTTTATACATAGCTTTTTGTTGTGAGTATATAATGTAAAATTTATCTTTCAGTTCTTGAAGGGAGGCTTTTTTCATTTTCCTATAGAATGCTCTTGTTTCGTTTCTCTGTATCCTTAATTCTTTAGTCCACCAGTTTAAGTTAGATTTATTATTTGGTTCTTGGGTTATAAATGATTGTTTGCAGCAGTGCTGTATGAATATTGTAAGGTTTTCCATTGATTTATTGAGTGTGATTTTATCAGATGAATTATTGATTTCCCGATGGATCTTGAAGAGATCTTGTTTCATCTTGAAGAGATTGACCAGCAGTAGAATTCAGATATTTTCTGAAGTTTCAAGGAGTAAAAGTAAAAGTAAGGAACTGGGAGCAGCTTGCCTTACTTGGGCTTCTCTGCGCAAGTAAGGCAAGCTGCTCCCAGTTCCTTACTTTACTTGGCTGTTTACCAGGACGAGGTGCTGACTAGCTTGCAGAAATGGCTGAAATTTCTTCTTCGCTGTTTTTTAGAAAAATAATAAGTCTTATGCTTCATCTCCCATTGTCTGAGAAATATTTAAGGTGTTATCTGCAGTTGTCCCATTGCCCAATGTAAGTATCTAAACAGCAACTGTTGTATGCGAAGACGATCTTGAATTAGCGGTCCCGCTTCCAGGTTGCTTGTTCTGTTACCGGTATAGTTCAGGGACCGAAATTCTTATGTTCCGGAATTTCATAACAAACTAAACCTCCGTGAGTGCTGAAGCGATGTAAGGCACATGCAGCTACAGTTACAACTCAGCAAACTTTGGGATGTGAATGATGAAGCTAGCAAAACGAATCAGGGCGTAATCATCAGACTTACGCCCTGGTAGCTATTAAGTTTTTGGATCTTCCACAATTTGGTTAAATAAAGTACTTTTTTTTGTCTCAGGAATTCCTTAACACAATGTAGGTGCATCACCTCCTGCGAGTTCATTTTTGCTTTTTTTTTAATACACTATTGTATTTTTTTTTTAATTAAGGAAAGTTTATTTTCCTTTATTTTAATTTGATTTCTACAAAAGAATCCAAAATTTTGTAGTTAATGTAAGCATTCAGAGTGCTTAAATAATTTTAAATGTTAACAACAGGAATATAAATTTTTATGTCTAAACTCCCTTAAATTTGTGAAGATAGGAATATGTAAAATTGAAACATTTTAGTGATATGATATGATGAGTTAAAAAAACCTCTTATAATGATAAATAAATAAATAAATATGTAGGCATTCAAAAATATAAAAAGTATTCAATGTTCAGAAGAAAAATATGGCTTTAACAACATAAACTTTGAGTACTTTTAAGAGAATGTTCATGTAGGGACCTGTATCTAATTACCGCGGGTAATAGAATGCTTATTTAACCTAGAGAATATTAACAATGAATTAGTTAGATGTTGTAGGTGTTACTATCATTTCATGGTCTATCTTGGTCCATCCATTCGTTTGACCCAGAAGGTTATGAAAACAGGGAGCCCTATGGGAATATGGGCTTATTTGAGAAAAACACAATGCAATGTAACAATATTCGGTTATTTGAGGGTGCCGAGGAATTAGTTACACTAATTGAATTTATTGATTTATTATTATTAAAGTAAACTGATTGATATTTATGGATATTTCTTCCTGCTGTTTGTAAGGTTGGGAATCAATGGGAATGAATTAGTTGCTATCCCTAGAAAAAGTTATGAAAATAATTGTGGTTTTTGGTAAAGTTTCAGAAATATCAGTTTAGGGACCTTGATGATACATTTTAATGAGAGATACCGTATTTATAGAATTTAGGTAATGAAACACAAATTTTCATTTTTATTGAAATGCATGTTTTAATTTTAATACTAAGGCAACACAGAAGATTTATTCCTCTTAATTTTCAAGTTTTGGATTTAATAATTTTGAATTGAATTACTTTTAAAATTATGTAAGAATTTATTTATTCTGGCTAGATAGATAATCCAGTTCCTCCTCACAGCTTAAGAATTTTATTCTTGTCTGCACCAGTGTCAAAGAAAGGTAGTTTAGTTTAAAGTTATAAATTAACTTAATATTTTTCTTTAGAACAATTCTAATATACACCCTGTTGGCTTATAAACAACTGTTCACTCCTGATAATCAACTAAAAAATCATGATCCTCATGCTACCATTGATAATAATAAACTACACCAACAAACAAAGAATACCATAGATACTCCAATAATAACAACTGGAACAACATCTTCAAGTATTAAACTCCAAATTTTGTTAATGATAAGAAAAAGACACAAAATTTAAAGTTGCATAAAATATGTGCAATTTTTATAATCAATCGATAAGAATAGTATAATATCTGAATTTTTTAAATGCTTAAAATTCACCCCATTTTCAGAAATAATTATACGGTTTAAAAAAAAACTTAGTTATTTATAACATGTACAATAAATTAAAAATTTTAGATGCTTTTTAGTGTTACTTATAACATTTAAAATAAATAAAAGCTATAAAATCATGTACCATGCATAATAAATTAATTTAATAATGTTTATGCATTACTGATACTTTTACAATGAACTAAAAACTCCATAATACTGACAGTATCATGTAGAATAAATTAAAATTTTTATAATACTTATAATATTACTTGTATCTTTAGAATAAATTAAGACCATAATATTTACAGTTTTATTATGGCATGTGGAACAAATTTAAGATTTCATAACACCTACAGTGTTTATTATTTATACCATTTAGAATAAATTATAAAAATTATAAACATTGCAGTATTATCCTGCAATGTAAAATGAATAAATAATTTCATAGCACATAGAGTGTTATTCATATAACATATAGAACAATCCCTTTTCTCTTTCTGTTTTAGTGTCAGCAGATGCCAAACCTGCTCCACGTTATGATCCCTGCTTCCGAAGTGGCCTTAAGACATAGAATGAATCTGGCTATCAGTCATGTATTCACAACTACAGTAAAAAAAAAAAAAAAAAAAAAAAAAAAAAAAAAAAAAAACTTCATATCTGACATTATTTATTAAAAATTTTTACAAAAAAAAAAAAAAAAGATGAAAGAAGAACCAGTGCCTTTCACATAGTCAGCCTCAAAGTTCTTAGACCTTAATAACATGCTAAATGCAAAAACAAAAAATTCCATCAATCAAGGAAAGGAAAATCAAAAGCTTTCAATAATACTTGTGGTCATGTTGTATGTAGAAATTTCTGGAATGTGAAATCATAATAATGTATCTGTAGTAGCATGTTTGCAATATAAATAAAAGTTGATTTTTAATACTGATTTCACTTTCATTTCAAAACTAAAGATTCACAGATTTATATGTTATTACAAGTTATTCATGTAGTGTTAAAGTTTTCTTCATAGAATTGTTAAAAGAAAACTTTTATACATATTTTCATAATTTTTTCTGTTTAGATTTATTAAAATATAAACCACAATGACATTAAATTATATTTTAATAACAATTTTGAAACTCTCAATTATTCTAGGTTTGCTTTATAACAGTGGTCTTTGAAAGACTATTTTTTACAGAACTTTATGATTCCAAGCAACTTCTCTAGGGGTTCCATCAGTTCAAATAGAAATTTTATGGAATTTTGGATTATGGATTTTAAAACAAGCTATCTAAAACAATTAAATAATATGTTTAATTATGATTGTTATCATTATTTAAAATAATCTTAATTACATCTGTTTTTATGAAAAAAATATTAATGAAATAGTGATTTCCTTTTCATTTTCCATATAAACCACATGTAATACTGACATATTTTCAATCTTTTTTTAACCTCCCATCAACCTATATACACAGGTAAGGAAGGTAATTTTCTCAATCCAAAAATTCTATAGAAAATTTTTATTGAAAATCATGACTTAGGGTCCCTGTTATACGTTTTACTATTTTCATAATGATGTCTCTCTCTCTGTGTTTACGTGTTAGATTTTTTGTCCACAATAACTCTTATATGAAATTTCCAAAAATTTATATATTCTGTATTTAAGATTTTGACATCCATATAAAGTGTTGACTAGATTTTGGGTAAAATGTGACAACCAAATTTTTAAGGGCGAATAGAAGTGCATTTTATTTAAAGACCATTGCAATTTTTGATGAAAAACTATATTTAAAGTATAATCCAAAAATGTTAATATTTAACAATTTTATATCAATGGTAACAAATTAGATTTTGGTTAACTTGATAAACAAGAAGCAATACTTTGCATGAAGCTCTGAACACATTTTCTTAAACAAAATATATTATGAAATAATGCAAAACTTCTCAAATCTAGTATTTAAAATAGGTATGCATTAGAGAACAACATATTACATTTATAAGCATTAAATGATTCTTGCAATTATGCTAAATACAGCAAGAATAAGCTCATCAGAAGATGAGCTCTCATTTGATAAATATACTAGCTTCAATCCTCACTTTTCAGTTGAATCATTTTTCAAATAAAAGGATGTTGCAACCAAATTTTATAAGTATGTATTATATTTAAAGGAATAGTATAATAAACATAAATAATATATGGAATATAAAAAGAAACGTACGAGAGCACTTAACATGCTATCAAGAATTCCCAAGATATGCTCTTTTTAAAAATGTTTTGATTTTCAAGTCATGGTTTTGTGAATCTCAAACATTATATGACCAGACGGTACACTACCACTGACTGGATATTTTCGAAATGGCAGTTTACTTAAAGCTTGTTAATATTCTGGCAGTATATGGAATTGGCAGGAGGTCATGCTAATCATCAGATTTTTTTTTTTTTAATTTATTTATTTTTGAGAGGATATTAGTGCTTCCACCAAAAAAAAAAAAAAAAAAAAGTTTTAGGGGTTCCAATAAAGAAGGTTATAGTTTTAGAATTCCACTAAAAGAAATTGGTTGCTTGAATCAACAGAAGTTGAAGGTCTTTGCTTAAACCCTGCTTTACAAAAGCATTCAGAAAGCAAAGCAGATGCTTCTTGATTTTGAACAGACTCTTAAATTTATCAAACTAATTTGATAAGATTAAAAAAGGTTCTAAAATACCTTACGCATCTTACATGTGTTTAGATAACTCATTTTAAATAATAGTTACATATAATTATTTAACTCATTAATTCAGCTTACTTTGTAATGAACTGTTGAATGCCTTTGTCAATTTAATAACTCTTTCATTAAAGGGGAAAATAATATTGTTATAAATGTTTTCATCAGAGCTTAATTTATGAAACGATAAGTGCCAGAGTTCAGTAGAAAACTATTAAGACAGTTGAATAAAATAAATAAAATAATAATGATAATGTCAAATGAAACAAAAAGTAAAGAGACAAAAAAATTTAAATATTAACAAATTAAATTAATGGTACACAGGCAAATAAATTGAAACATCATAAAAATTAAGCAAAATAATAAAACAAATGATGAGAGAATAAGTTAATACATTAAAAAAAATCACCAAATTCAAGTGAAATAACTAAAAGAAATATAAAGTCAGAAAATTAAAAGTAACAACACACAGAAGATAATTATTTGAAACAGTATTCTCTGAAATTAGATAAAACTTCCTGTCTTATTTTGCTTTCTGAAAAACCCATAAAATTTCATTATCCTGAAGAGTTTGTTTTGCAGTAAGATATGGATACCTCAGTCTTTGAGAACAAATCTTGAGCATTCTATCCTAAAGCAGATAATACAAGGGTCATCTGCTTCAGAAAAGGAATCCTTTATGGGGGATTTTGTCACAGAAAATGACTCATAATTATTGTACACACAAGGGGAAAAAAATGCTAGTGCAACAAATCTTTTGCTAGTGTCCATTGGACTTATATGCTAAGTTATTACTGGGCTCATTTCTTTTGAAGAATTGCATTTTTACATGGAGGTTTTTTTCTTTATCAGCTTTTCAGATTTTCCTGTGTATTTTAATTTTCACGGGGAAAGTAAGACATACATACAATACGTATAATAAGTAAGTTTTAATAAATGCAGTACAATAATATGTTATAATAATAACAAAATTTTCTTTTAATACTGTGATGCAGTTAACAAGAAAGTACTGAAGCTGGTGTTATTTTATTACTCGCCATCCTTTTTAATAGTTTTTGAATTTGAAGATAAAAATGTGAAATATACATTTGTCATTTAACACATTCACTGCCAATCATGCACTGCGCGTGACTGCTGTTATTGTTGAAAAGCCAATCATGCTCTTGCACTTGGTGTGGGTGTCATGTGTTGGAGTGGGAAAAGCAACTTCTCACTGTTTATTTTCAAGGTCAGCTGGCATTCATTGAGGAGATATATGTTGGTATTGACGTGGAGTGAAGTTTACAAACTAGTTGTAAATATGTGTGGTTTGGAATGGGAAAAAAGTTTCATTTCATGCAAAAATCATACATGAATAACATTCTAAAATACATAGCTCGCAATAATACCATTGTAACTATCTTGTAATAAATTCATCTTGTAATATATATATATATGTTTATAATATAGTTTCATACCCAAATAATGCATATTGTTATTCATTTTGATTCGTTTTTAAATGCCACGTGCCAGCACATAATGCGGCATTTATTTTAATTTTACCTAAAGTGTCAATCATGCATCGGCACGTAGTAATAAAATTTCATACTTAAAGGCTTAGTAAGGAATGTGGTACATATAACAATCTTTTATTACCTTATTTAAATCCTATTTCTTACAATAAGTAAGTCGGCATATGGGTATAGTCTATTTCTATGACACAGCGTTAACTATCAATAAAAACCTTATGACCAGCAGCGAAAGTGTTAAGATTTGTGGTGCAGCTTTTTACTCCTTTCATGGCAAGTGAATGAATTTCTTAATACTCATAAATAGCTCTCTAAGCTTACTCTTCCTCATTCCTGCATTTTGAGAAAACCTTTTGGAGGTATTGTGTATATGTGTTTGCATTTTTAATTATCTGGTGACATAGTTATTTCTGTGCTTCATCTAAAATTAATAAACTATGTCAGCTACAGTACTGCATATGATCCTATTTGAAATAAATAAATAAATACAGATATTTCAGCATTGAAATAAAAGATTTATTTAACTATTTAATATATATATATATATGTATTATACAGAGTCCATCAAAAACTTAAAAAGACATTTCAACAAATGATATCTATGGACTTCTTTAAAAGAACATTTTAAAGTGACATTTCCAATTTCAGAATATTACTTGAATATATATAAATGGAGGCATGAGTTAGCAACATAACTCAGTTTGGCAGATAATTATACATCTTTGGGAAAAATTTGAAACACATGGTGCTGGTTGCAGTGTTCACATGGAAAAATCAGACAGACCCTGAATAGCAAGAACCCCTTGTTTGACAGCTATGATGTTAAAAAATTGCATCCACCTGACACAGAAATTTGCCATACAATGTTCACAAATGACAGGAGCCAGAATATATATATATATATATAACTTATCCAGATGAGGTTCCAGATGATGGATCTATATATATATATATATATATATATATATATATATATGTTAAACATTCACGTAATTTAATACCATTAGACTTTTACCTGTGAGGGATGATAAAGGATGCTTTGTGTCACAGAAAGCCAGCTAGATGTACTAACAGACTTTTTCCTTCTTCTGAACACATTAAAACATCATATGTAGTTATAAGGGCATTTTGCACAAAGTTACTCTAGCAATGATTTGTTATTGTTAATGAATGTGTGGTTGCTAGCAACTATTACTTTAAGCATATTTTGGAATTGTAGAGATTAAAGGTAACTTTTATTCAACTTATGATATGTGAATTTATTTAGTGTTAACATGCTTCATATAGTTATCATTTGTTAAAGTGTGCATATACTTCTTTGGCAGGCTTTGTCTACCAAACGGCAGAAAATTTTTGTAAATTAAACTCTATCCCCACTGTGCAGTGGTTTCTTTATTAACATTCGAGATTTCAGATGGTTTCGAAGGTATGAGAGAAGGTGGAAGGTTGGGAATGCTGGAAAGAACAGATGGCAAAATAGGATGTTGTACATCTGCAGGTGTTGCTGAAGGTGGTTCCTTCATTTTGGAAACTTTAGCTTGCAGCCAGGAATCAATATCAGGCTCTACTCTTGGTTTAGGTAAAGTAATACCCAACTTTTCTTGCCGAACTGAAAAATTTAACAATTCTTAATTCTAACACCAAACTGCTCTAAATTGTTTGTTCTTAAATAATAAAAATTAATTATACAAAATGTAAATGTAATATAATGAGAATAAAATGGTAAATAAATAGTATCAAGTACAAAAAAACACAAAAGCTTTGATTCTATGATAAGTTTGCACACAGTAACAGATAAAGATCATCACAAGATAGAGTTTAAACTAACCTTTTCCAATTTCAAATGCTTATATCCTGTTCAACCTTAAATAACTCCCAATTTTATTTTTAATTTACATATTTTGAATTTATTAATTAAAAGTAATTAATTAAAATTAATTAAAATAAAGTATACATTATGTAGGTAAATGGGTAATACAAATAATTCCTATTGAAAAAATTTCAATAGTTAAGCTGCTTTTAACATATTTTCATGGAATTATTAAAAAAAAAAAGGACTGTTACACTATCAACATGTATTTCATACCTTTAATAATCAACAGGTATTTCAGAACTGATAATTTAATTTAAAAAAAAAAGACTTTCTGAAATCCCTTCCACTTAGAGCTGACATCTGTTCAAACCTCCATTAGCTTCTCATGGTCCAAAAATTTCAGTTTTGCATTTGTTAGAAACATAAGAAGAATTGCCTTATAATTCTGTATCTAACAGTAATCACATGGAATTCCAGTATGATGTAGGAAGTCAAGAACCTCAGTTGCTCATTCAATCTAAAGTAAATAATTTTGACTGAGATTTTGGATTAATTATGGCATCTGAACTATTAGGTTGCCACAATTTGAGCCAAAACATTTACACATTTATATCACAGAAAAGAAAAGCCATACATTTCCTACTTTTTGCAGAAAATAACTACAGTTTAACTCATAGCTTGATAAAGAATTTGATATTAAAGAAAGAGAGATCACTTTGAAGCTTTCGAACAAATTCTATTAATTTGCATAATGGAAAAAAATATGCCTTCACAGTTACCCCTTACTCAAGGTACCTCAGTAAAAAATTACAAGACCTTGGAATTGGTCAAAAGGAAAAGGAAATAGCCATGATATACTTGCAATAATTTGCAAACAGTTTAAAATATTTTGAAGGAGATAATAGGAAAACTAATTTTCCATATTTCTTTTGTGAATGGTGTAATAGCACAAAGAGTTGCCAATGGATACAAAAACTCCTTTCAGAAAGACTTTTTTAAAACTTTGCAATAAAGACTATTTGCGCACAATTAATAATAACAGCACGGGGGGGGGGGGGGGGAATGCCACTTTTAGGATTGGACTTAATAAAACAATTTGTTCCAGAAATTACAAAAACAAATATTGAAACATCTTTTCAAAAAGTTCCCTCCAAAAAATAAATAAATTAATTAATTAATTAAAAAAAATAAAATAAAAATAAAAATAAATAATTAAAAATAAAATTTAAAATAATAATACAGTACAAAATCTTTAATCCCGACGTCCATAATCCGGACCTCAAAGCTACAAACTTTCTGCACATGCGTAGCGTTTACGCATGTGGCATATTACGTTTACACATGCGCGTTTAATGTACAATGGACGGTATAAGCTAGGCTAAAATTATCTAATTATCTATTTCAGTTAATGTTGCAGATTGTTCTTTAATCTTCTAATTGGATCTGGCTTATTATTTTTTGCAGAGTGTTACAGCAATTTTATAAAAAGTAAGCTTGAACTTTCGATTATGTCAAAAAGAGTTTCCGAATCTGGAGCTGCCAAAGGATCTACAAAGCGAAAGCATGTTTCGATGTCCATCAAACAAAAAGTGGAATTGCTGCAAAAAATAGATAAAGGCATGAAGAAAGTGACAGAGAGGTTAGTGAAAACGAAAAAATTTCGATTGACTAGTTAGTTGGTATTCTCGGCACAGCCATTACAGGAACAATTACTTGAACAGCGGAACTTTGTAGCTGAACAAGAAATTATGTCTGTTTATAGAATTAAAGAGAAAGTATTAGCACATAAAACGAAACAACTTACATTGAAAGAAATGTTTAATAAAGTAAACAAATAAATATCGAGCTTTTTTTTTTTTTTTTTTTTTTTTTTTTTGTAAATTTTGATACCCTTTAGATCATAATTGCTCTTTATTTCATAAATTACGGTTTCATATTTTTAATTTTATAATTTCTGCATGCCATCTTACCAGATTTAAATTGATGATCTATAATCTGGAAAAACCCCTAATCCAAAATCACCGATGTCCCGACGAGTCTGGATTAAAGACTTTGTACTGTATAAATAAATCTGAAAGTTTTCAGATTTTTATATCATGCCCAAAGGGAAAAAAACCTTTTGTGTGTTACCTTTATTTATTAAATGGTCTTTATTTATTAATGGATAAAATTCAATTCAACAGCAATATCACAAAATAAATTTAATATGAGCATATCTTCAGAATTTCTGATACACAGTCTCAAGCGCTGGAGACAAAAATGTTTTTTTTTGCAGTTTTGCCATTGCTCGCTTTGAAATCAACGAGTTTGTTAATAAAAAATTCATTGAAGTGTTCCAGAGTATGAAAGCAATAATAAAACAAATTTCAGATTCCAAACTAGGGTTTCCAGATGCCCATATTCGGCAGAAAATTACGTTACTCAAAATTTGATGGCTCTAGGTACCGTTGTTTTATCACAATACAAGATTACATACATACATTTATGGAGATTTTTCATTATTTAATTTTTTTTAAATATAAGATAGGGTGATAATACTAGGTGGCAGCAATTTGAAAAGTGAACCAACATTTAAAGTTTTTTTAAGCTTTTAGTAAATAATGAGCATATTATGCAACTTTGTTATGTTCAAGTATTTTACATCAGGATTAGAGAGGCCACCTTGGTCAGTTACCCAACCTAGAGTTACCAAGCTATTCAAATTTAATCTCCAGATTTTTAACCTGCGACAAATTTCATTTTCAGGTTTTGAATTAGATATTTTCTTTTTAACTGTAGGCAGCTTTAAACTTTTTGCAACTTTCAAAATAAGAATTATATTGTTCATTTTTTGGCATGTTTTGTTCTTAATTTTTCCTTTAAAATGTTGACCATATTTAACTTTCTATCAACTAAGCAGCAGAATTTTTCTTTTTCTTACAAAATCACATAATTTTTTATACTGAACAGAAGTGTAAAACAGACACTAAATGGATTGGCCTATTCAATTATGGCAAAGCACACGAGGGGTATCTTCCTAAAGGGATGAATGCCTTCATGGAGGACTTTTTAAGGGAAATTGGTTCACATACATGTTACACATGGGGAAAACCACAAAAACACCCATGCAGCCAGCCCGTTCGCGGGATTCAAACCTCGGTCTGAACTACCAGTGTACAGTGTCTTTACCACTTGGCTGCTGGTGAGCCAGACACTAAATGAAATTATGTATAAGGAATGGCGGCTAAATGGCAAATCAACAGAAAAAGAGGATCGGCTTGCCGAGCTTAGATTCATGTTTAGGATAATTTATGTGGTGGCAATATGTAAGATGTGACAAAATATTTCATTCTTTTACAGCAACAATTGTTGAATTATGACCTCCACAACTGTAAATAAATATTATTTCTCCAAAAGAAAATAAAATTTACTTCAGTTTAAATGTCAATCAATTTTATTTATAACAATTATTATAGTTTAACATTAACATTAATTATTATGGTTTTTAATTTTTTAAGAGTTGCAATAGCATTTTTTAATTAATTTTAAATGTCATCAAATTTTGCCAAAGCATATGTGATGGCTGCTTTAATACTTAAGTTCCAATTTTTTAATTATTAATCAAGAAATATAGAAAGAAAAACCAGTACTGTTCTATTATCAGGACCAGGTACAGAAATATATGTATATATGCATATATGTTTGGATGTATGTGTTCATGTATGCTTGTTTATATCGATGTACATATGTATATGTATGTGTACACACACACATACATGCTCAGGTGTATGTGTACATACACATACATACATAAATACATTTCTGAATCTTGTCCTGATAACAGAAAGTACCAAAAAACCTTACCTTGTTCTTCAAGATTCTGTACATCAAGAGGTGTCAAATGAGAATATTTACAACCAGATCCAAATTCACAATGGCCTTTAAAAAATTTACAGAATGCATATAAAAGATATAATGATATATGAGGAAATGAATTCTATAAATATTTTCATCAACTTATTTTTACATAATCAGTCTAAAAGTAATTATTGACATAAATGTTAATTATGAATTCCTATAATGAAATCATATAGTTTTGCTGTAAGTTATATTTATTTATCATCATGAATTTTAAATAACTCTTTTAATTATTAAAAACTTTTGCATATCTATAATGGTTAGCATAGTGGCTAAACTGTCTCAAAAGATAAAACCAAATACATAAATAAATTTCCTATACTACCTATTACTAAAAACCTATCTAAAGCATAAAATTTACTGAAATAATCCATAATATAATTTAACAAATAAAACCATATACAGAAATAAATTTTATGAAAAAGTTTTCAAAAGCATATAATTTATCGAAATAACTCACAAGTTAATCTACTGTGTAAATGCACTCTTTGTTCTTTCAACATTACCCTTTCAGTCACAGTGGTGGCAGTTGGAATCATAACATTTAGGAATTTTTCCCCCCTCAACCTAACATTCCCACAGATTTCAAACGAACAATATTATAATCTACACGCATTTCTACATCAAAGTAAGTTCCCCCTTCCTCCCTATCAAAAGATGGCTGCACTGTCCCATTGATGAATGAAATAATACTTATTTAAATTGTACTTTGTTCCAATATACATCTCAAAATCAATATCATTTTGGGTGCAATTAAATGAATTAACAGTATTAAATACTTAAAGCTTCACTGCAAACACCGGAGTATTCTGCTCGGTCGTTCTCAGAACACCACATACTCTCGAGACTCTCCACACTACAACTCGCGATGCACTCGAAGACACACAGAGCATGGCTCCCGACTCTTCGGTTCAGTCATTCCCAGAGCTCAACATGCTCTCTCAATGATGCACTAACTGTGATACACTAAGAGACTCTTGCAGTGCACTCGACGACCCACTTTCGCGTACCAGCAGGGTTTATATAGCTTTTGACTGGTGTTCGAGAACATTCTGGGCTAAACCAGTAAGAATTCGTTTCAGAAGGTTATCCAACTGTCCACGGCACATCGCCAATTTTGTCGCCAAATGGACGATTTCTTGCCAAAAGTGGCAACTCAGCCTCCCTTGCCATTTTATGGCAACCCTAAAACTGCTTTGCGGGGAAGCTATCTCACCGCGCCTGTACATTTCATAACATTATGTTATTTTGATTGGTTGTTTTATGTGTCTTGTTTATGATTTGTTAAACCAGGATCTGCTGTAAAGTTATATGTATAACCTCTAAAAAACTTTTTCGCATCTGTTTGTGTATTTCTTCCTTTTGCTCTGTAATAAATGTTTGTTTTTTGAGCCACAGCATTTTAAATGTTCAGCATTTTTAATATAGAAATTTTCAGTTACTAAATTGTTTGTAATTCTAATACAGATCTTTTGAAGTGGATCACTAAAATAAAACAAATGTATGTGGAAAAAACTGCCAAAATTTTATGACTCAAAGAATGATCTTTGAAGACCCACGTAACACTGAATTTCATTACTTACAAAATAACAAACATTAGCACATCTATGTATCCCAATATGAAACTAATGCTTTTAAATTAATGTTTTCCCAATATAAAAGGTATCTTTTAAAAATTTACATTTAAAAACTTAACATGCTTAACCATCTTTAGAAATATTGGTTAAAAGTTTCTACTAACTTCATATATTCTATAACTGCTCACACATTTCTAAGATAATACTTTACATTTTAAGAAATATTTAATTATTCATAAAATTAGAAGACAGTGTTTGTAAACTGGATTTAATGCTTTGTTAAAACAAAACAATAAACATATAAATAAATATATGAAGGAAATTTGTTGCACTTAATAGTATTATTGCTATGTTTATTTTTCTTAATACTTTAATTTAAAGATTTATAATTTAAATTATGGTTTGTAAACCAAATATGGATTGCAAACCTGTTTGATGGAATTTGCGGCATGGTTTTTTTTGTCGATTTTCTTCCAAAATAACAGCAGCATCTGGAAAATATATAAAAGTTACAATGCACAAGACATTTACAAGACAATGTACAAGTGGAATTTGTTAACACTAAGCTATAAAAATATTATTGATAACAATAAAAAAGAATTTATTTATTTAATGATAATAAATTAGTAGGGGGAAAATGTAATGTATAACACAAAATGCATAAATGAAAACTATATAATTATGCTAAAAATTCATAACGCTGGAGATAAAAATTTAAATCATACCTTTGAACATATCATAATGAGCTTTCCTCAGTTTTTGATGATGGACGCTAGCCAAATGTTTCTTCCGATTTTCAGCTCCATCAGCAAAAGATCGTTCACAGTAATCACAATAATATCGCTTTCCCATGATTTATTTTGCAACAGCAGAACTATTCTATAAAATTCAGATAATTCCCATGCATTATTTAAATTTTCTGCATCACAGAACAATAGATATTTAATAGTAAGTAACAAAGAAATGAAAAGAAACAAAATCTTTAAATAGAAAGAATTTTTAAAAATTTCATCTTTAACTGATGGTAAAATAGAATTACAAATAAATTAAAATATAAATTATAATTAAAATTAAAAGGCCAAAACCATTTGTAGCAATCATAAAAGTACAAAAAAGAACAAAACGAACAGATAAAAAAACTGCTTGCACAAACATGCATCTGTCTACACAATACTATTCCTCAGATAATATTCAAAATGCATTAGTTTTACAAAAAATGTTTAATTCTACAAATGCCAGTTTTAATTTCTTTAAAGGCATTCAAAAATGTTTTTCCCCAAAAAGAAAAACCAGCTAAAATATTTCAAGCTAACAACATGTTTGGAAAACTTACCATTCAGCACGTGCATTGCAAAACCAAAAATATTCTCTTTTTCTAAAAATTAAATTAAGAAAATATTAATACTTTATCTGATTCCCTTTAGTAATTTTCTACTATTCTTATCAAATATTTATATTTGCCAATTTAAAATAATTTATAAATGTAAAAATAATGAATTACAAATTACTACTGAAGTCCATCTTAAAGTTCTCAGAGAAAAATAATACATTTTCTACTATTATCACTTGTGAGAGTTTCTTTAGTATCTTATTTTCTACAAAAAATGTTTCTCAGAAGGTTTTAACAGATCTTTCTCTGTAATCTTGCAGTTAGGATTTTAAAGATCTGTTCTAAAATTCCTACGTCAATATGTTTTAATCCAAGCCAAGCTTGTTTTTCTATAGTTATAATTCTTCACCCACACCTTTGAAATTAATTTTCTGATTTGCAAATATCACATGAAAATATTTCACGTCATACCATATTTAATACTTCATCAGCGTCATTGCATAAAGATATTTTATTAAATCTGATTTAAGAAAAGTAACAAAAAACTTTTCTGAAAAATATTCATCTTTTTCAAGAATTAGTTCACATTTTACAATATCAGTTATTTTAACCTGCCATCCAGATAGAAGAGTTTATTCATGTACTTTTTCATCATTTACAAGGACTTATCAGTGAATGACCTGCATTCATTATAAGTCCATTTCACTGAGATTCAGATGCATGCCTTAAATATATCTGTTTAAATGCCATAAAAACCGTACAATGACTTGATTACTAGCAAAAAGGTTTTATAGGTAAGAGAGGAAACTATTTTAATATATAAATTAAAAATACCTAATGATTTTCTATTGAGTCAATGAATTAGTGCATTAGTGCCAATTTTATCACTCCTAACCCCCTTTTTGTTTTGCAGTTTTTACATGAAATCTTTAGGAACACCTTTGATGCCCTAAAATATATGCATACGAGTATAAATACTTATTTTAGTATGTATTTACTTTAGTGTGCATCTTACAGAATGTTTACAGAAGTGACATGACTTATAATACTGCATATTAAAAAATACTCAAGTGCTGGCTAAAATTATTGCTGCATAAAGCAATCACCTACAAGAAAGTACACATGAAAGTGACCCTGAAATGTTTTTCATTTACACCATCTAGTAGTAGATGACTTCCAAATGTATACTCATAGCTAGATACTGTGTTTATGTATTTATTGGCTGGTGAAGTTTCTATCCCAGTGCTTGTATATCCAGATTAACTTTCTATGATTGAGCTAGTTCTTCCAAATAGCAGTTCAGAAAGGCTACACAGTTAATATTGCTCACTGTATCTTATTATCCACACCTCTATTGAAGACACGAACTTATTGGCCACTTTGGAAAGAAACTTTTGTTTTTGTATCTTTACATCTATTTCAATAATATATCACATGCCACCTTTTTCTTCTACATTCTTTGCTTTTTTCCTCCTACTCGTTTTCCTCGAGTACACAGTGATCTGTTTTTGTTTAAAACATGTATATATATCCGAGAATTGCATAAATTTGGCATTGCACACAGTCTCCGCACCAAACTCCTAACATGTGAAGGTATCAAAGAGACATGAAGAGATGTTTATAAGTGAGCTACATTATGTTCAATGTCTGCAGAAATCAAAGTTCAATATTCTATTAAAAGTGACAAAAACTGCTGCATGAGGTCTATTGCTATGTTAAAATGCTGAAATTTTCAATGAAGGAATTATAATCTGCAGGCACACTGACAAAAATATCAGAAGTGGAAAATTGTTGCAATGTGCATACCTCAATTGCCACATAAATATTTTTTGATGATATCGAGGGTTGCTACATAAATATCTTTCAGCAACATAGTGCATTGCCTCATCAGTAGTGTTTCACAGTTTTTTAGTAGAGATGCACATAATCAGTTGTATTTTAAAACAATCATGCATATACTCAGAAAATATATCACATCACACATTCATGAAAAAGTTTGAATGACATTCTAAGGTATGTCCTTTTTACAAATCTATCTTTTTTTTCAAAATAATTTTCACTTTAAATGAATTCTTTACAATAGAAGACATATCTAGAAAAATGTGACAGCTGGATGCAGTGATGAAAAATTGTTCTGAAAGAATGCAATGCATTAATAAAATTATGTCTTTCTAAATAAGAATAAAATATTTTTATGCATTTAAAAAAATCATTAAATTATGAAACACAGGGTACTTTTGTAATGTATTTTTAGCCAAGTGTACAATATGTCACAAAAATATGTTTACAATTTACAAATAAAGTTCTACTACATTTACACTTTTCTGTAAATGTTTTTAATATCTTTGGTCCTACTCTTACATACGCCCTCAGATGTATGGCACTGCCAAGTGTGACGATATGTGTTCTGTGCTCATTTTTGGCACGATTATATGTTCAGTGATGGTTTTTGATGCGATGTTGTTTGTAGGGCAGCTCTTTTGATGTTGAAACTTTATTTTGCTGGAGTGGTTGGTTTGGTGGACATTTTGAAATGGCTTGTGTTGCAATGAAAGCCGTGGTGGCAAAATTTCAGTCGCGTATTTTGGATTGTGTGCAAGGCAAATTTAGTATTAAAATGTATGATGTTGGAGATTTTAACGAGTCTTTTGTTCCCGAGTGTGTTTATGTGGATTTTATTCACGAATGTATGCTGGACTTTGTATGCTCTGTGTCTCAGAAGATAGGATGGAAATTTATGAGTTTTTGCTGGTGTTTGAAATTGATATTTCTGCTGTTTGAAGAAGCATTCACAATGGTAAGTGCATTTTATTTTATAGAATGTTATGTTCACTGTTTTTTTCTTTTGCTATGAATTTCTGTTTTTATTGTTGTTTTTTGAATTTTTTGTAATTTATTTTAGTTTATTTTGTTCAGCTGTGCGCAATGCCGAGGCTGTGCATTTCACTGATATTTTTTTAAGTTAAAACAGAACGCTGTGTACATGGTATTGTTTGAAATTTATTGTTGTTATGTTAGTTTATCTTGGTGAGGCGTGTGTAATTCCTAGATTCCTATGCTGCATAGATTGTGCAGTTCTTTGACATTTTTTAAAGTTAAAACAGGTCGCTGCATACATGGATTCTTGTCAAATATTTTTGGTTAGAAACTTTAAATTTTTGCTATCTAAATTTTTTTTTTTTTTTTTTGTTTTGTTTTGGATTTTTGGCATAAATTGTGTGTTAAAAATGTGGTTTTTGCAGACATTTTAGGCTTAAAGTTCGAAATGTAGACAAAAAATTTAGATAGTAATATGGCACCATGAAGTTTCTCACCAAAAATTCATCGCCAACCGAGGGCGTGTATCAGAGTAGTTTTGTATTTTCATACAAATTGCAAAGGTATTCTATTCAATGGTGCAGACAAGGTGAAAAAGAAAAGCCCAAATTCTAGTTCAGTCTTTTATTTTGAATCACAACCTTTCAAAATTAATACTACTGAAGGGTTGGAGTTCTGTTCAATATTAATACTGGAGATTATCTAATTAACATTCAACATTGGGAGAAATGTAAGAGAGCAAGAATAAATATAAATAAATTTAAGAAATATTCTAAACACGGCAAATTCATTTTCACCAGAATCCACTTTACATACATCTCTCAGAGACAATTGTATCACTGATAAATTGACAGAATACAGCATAAAAAAGCCCACTAAAACCATCTTACTCAATTACCTTTCAAAAAGTCTTTTACAGCTACTAAAAAAATTATAGCTAAGAAAACACTTTTAAATACTAATTATAAAATACTTTTTAAATACTAATTGTAAAATATTACATTAACTGTCAATAATTTCAAGATATCCTGTTCAAAAAACACTAATTCAAATCACACATAACATCAAGATAAATGAACATAACGAATCAGGTTTCTAAACTACCAAGTTTATTCACGTCTAACACACATTCAACTGGCGGTGCCAGATCCAAGAACAAGAAGTATATATACATCATGAAAAATTTACACCCTCTTTGGCAATTAAAATATACAGGGGTTAGACAAAAATATGGAAACACCTTTAAAAAAAGATGTTTCTTTGCTTAATATGGTGTAGGAACTCCTGCAAAATGGTGGCAAGTTCAGATAACGATGTTGGCGGTGGATAACGAGAACGCACTTTCCGTTCCAATGTAGACCACAAAGGTTCGATAATATTCAGGACTGGTGACTGTGGTGGCCAAGGGAGATGGGACAACTCATCCTCGTGCTCAGAAAACCAGTCCTGGACAATGTGTGTGAACAGGGGCTTTGTCATCTTGGAAGACACCACCATCACCATCCGGGAACAAAGTTTGTACCATGGGATGAACTTGATCGGCCAAAATGTTCACATAAGTCTTGGCAGTCATGTGCCCTGACACAGTTATCATGGGGCTAGCAGAGAACCATGATATGGCTGCCCAAACCATAACAGAACCCCCGCCATGTTTCACTCTTGGCAACAAGCAGTCTGTATTATAGGCTTGAGATGGTGTTCTCCAGACGTAAACTCGGCCAGAAGTGGGAAACAATGTGAAAGAAGACTCATCAGACCATATTACTCGCTTCCACTGCTCTACAGTCCAGGCTTTATGACTTAAACACTACCTTTTCCTGTTACGGGTATTAGCATCACTGATGAGTGGCTTCTCAACTGCAGCACGGCCAGCAATTCCCTGTTTATGAAGCTCCCTTCTAATTGTTTTGATACTCACAGGGTTCGGTAACACAACATTCATTTCAGCAGTAACTTTTGCAGCTGTGGTCTTCTTATTTTTCATCACAATTGCCCTTAATGATTGTCTGTCACGATCACTCAGGACACATTTTCGTCCGCGCTGTGATTTAGCAGATGATGTTTTTCCGCTTTTCAAATATGTGGAATAAATCTTCGATTCAGTACCTCTTGAAACACTAAACACCTCGGCTACCTTGCTTACGGAAGCACCTACCATACATGCTCCAACAATTTTCCCACGTTCGAAGTCTGTTAACTCTGACATAATGCAATGACAACCTCACATA